TTTAAAAATTTCTTTCTGTATACATGTGTTGTTCCCTTAGCATACCACAAACATTCTGTACTAAGTAATGTTTTATCAGAATATTTCAGGGCTATAATGCAAGCATACCTCTGTCTAGGACTTTTTCTTTTGTGTTTACTGTTATAATTTTGGTGTGATTGGACATACACTCTACACAACTCTTGTTTCCATCTGACATTTTTAGGAATCTACGGATAGATTCCTGGGGGTGGAATTAATAAGCTTAAAAATGTAATCTAGAGCCAATATGGATTGCTTCTCCAGAGGTGATTCTCTGTTTACCTGCTCCCTCCAGTCTGAGGCCCTTCTGTCTGTACCCTCACGTTTCTTTGAATACTGCCTGGCTCTTATTGACTAGTTTTTAGGTAGGAAATGATGTCATTATTTTAATAGCTTCAGAAGTTTTTGTTTTTTTTGTTTTTTTGTTTTGTTTTGTTTTTTTGGTACCGGGGATTGAACTCAGGACCTTGCATTTGTGAGGCAGGTAGCAGAACCACTGAGATAAATCCCTGGCCCAGAAGTTTTTGATAGAGTAGCTTTAATTTCTGAAAGTTTTTCTTCAAAGTTAATAGAGTAAATGAAATGTGCAGCAGGTGGTAGCTAAGAAAAAAGTGTTTAGTGACATGAACTTTTATCAGAGTTGAAGCAAGATAAAACTAGACTAGACAATATTAAGCATATAAAAGATTTAAGATTTTCAAGATACTTGTAATAGTATAGGGATAGAAATTGGGGAAGCTTTCAGAAGTGCACTGTATAGCATTATCAGTGATTCCTTGGAGAGCAGTTAGGTATATAAACTAGTCAAACTACCGGCATGATAAAAAATGAATATTTAAATTTTAAAAATTTATTTGAGCCATGCTCTTGCTGCATAGGTTAGGCCAGCCTTGAACTTTCGGCAAACCTCCTGCTTCAGGCTCCCAAATGCTGGGATTTCAGGCATGCGCGTGTGTGTGCTACAAAGACCAGCTATTTAAAAATTTTATTACAATGAAAGACATATTGCCATAATCACTATCAAAATCCTCCCCCTCACTTCGAACACACTTACCCATCATTCATCCCACTTTCTGAAGCAGTTCTGGAGGTTCTCTTTCATGACTGTCTTTAGTTGTGCTATTGTGGCTGCTTCGATGTCCTGAATCATTTTAAAATGTTTCTCTTTTATACTTCTTTGACTTCCGGGAAGAACTAGAGGTTACACATTGCCAGATGTGGTGGATAAGGTGGATGAGGACAGACTGTTATGTTTTTATGAGCCTGCCTTTTTATTGGATGATACTCACACTCAGCAGCAGCATTCATTGTGTTTTTTATCACACCTTGTAAAGACAGGAAGGGACTTGCAGATCTGCTTTAGAGTGGTAACAACAATGGGATGTGTTCCAGGTGAGCAGAAGGGTTTTGAGGGGGATCAGAGGCAGTGTGACTTTTACTGTAGTACATTTTTAAACTTGGAGTATTCACTGTATATTTTGATCACTCCTTATGTACCAAAAAACCTCAGAATTAAATGTTGAAAGATGCATACATGTGAAGGATTTCTGTGCATTTTCTGCCTCCACTTTGAAAATCTGCTTTGCATAAAGTGTAGGGTGTACCATTTAGGCCCAGTCTATTTCAGCTATTTTTCCCTCCCAAATTCCAAACACTTCTGCTTCATCAGTTGGTTGGTTGAGCAAAAATGACTCCAAAGGGGCAGTTCACATGGGCAGGCAAGCTTGTCTGCCACCTGTGTTTAGGTGAACAAGGTCCAGGTGATGCCCATTCTTCCTGTCGTCCTCATTCTTGCCAGCTCCAGACATGACCGTCCGTCCATCTGTCCAGCATTATCACTCCAAGAAATCACTTGTTTTTCTTTCTTCACCTTCACTACGTGTGTGCTCCGTGGGGTGCTTCTACCTTCACTTCTCAATTTCCCTATAGATGAACTTTTGACAGAAGCAGATCTGTTCTATCTCCTACTTTGTGACAAGTTAATATTGCCACATTCCAGTAGCTAGCTTTACTGTGTTTGATGAAAATAAGAGAATTTAGAAATTTTGTGAATTGCAGCATTTCATTAGCTCCTTTCATTAGTGCTTTTTTTTTTTGGTTTGTTGAGACAGGGTCTCACTATGTAGTTGAGACTGACCTGGAACTCACTATGTAGCTCATGTTGGTCTTGAACTCACAGCAGTCCTCCTGCCTCAGCCTTCCGAGTGCTGGGATTAGAGGCGTGTGCCACACGCCCAGCTCCTGTTATTTTTTTAAACAAGATTTGAATTACTCCTCCAGACTAGTTTGTAAACATCAAAAAAGCAATTATATAAGATTGAAATTTCTTACTCCAAGAGATTTCACATTTGTGTCTATGTAGAAAGCTAAAAGAATAAAGTGAGGGCCGGGGATTTGGCTCAGTGGTTCCGCTGCCTGCCTCACAAGTGCAAGGGCCTTTGATCCCTGGTATCAAAAAAAAAGAAATGGGATACTTTTGGAGTTCATAAAAATAGCTTCTGAAGAACAGCTTGGTTCATGGAAAAGCACTGGCTCTCAAATTTTAAAATCCTGTGACTTAATTGAAAGCATTGGCATATTACAAGGGAAATGATTTTTAAAATTACTCTTCTGTAGTTTCAGCCCTCAGCCTTTCCCCTATAGCTCCTTTCATGTCTTTGTGAAATGGATGAATATTTTTAGTCTGCCATCCTGGCTCAGCTTCTCCTTACAGGCTCAGATTCCCGGCAGTGACTACAGCATTCAGCTGCACTGCCCAGGTTCTCATTCTGTCTCCTCTCCTGTTGCAATTCTCTGCAGCTGTGTGGCTGGCGGCCTAAGCCTAGATCTTTTGATAGATTCAGGTCCCATCACAGCCCTTCAATAGGCGGATTTAACACTTTCACCTTCTATTCAGCTTTTCTGGTAGCCACAAGTTCTAGCGGTTGTGTTTTTGTTTTGTTTTGTTTTGTTTTTGTGGTACCGGGGATCAAACTTAGGCCCTTGTGCTTGCAAGGCAGGCAGTGGAACCACTGAGCCAAATCCCCAGACACAATTCTACTTAAAACTCTGAGGGGCTGAAGTGCGCTTGCGCACACTACTGGGAATTGCTTGTGGTCTTCCTCCTGTCTACTGCACTGTCCCTGCTCCTAGGGTGGTTCTCATACCACTAGCTGGATGTCATTAAGGCAGTTGCTTTGAGCTGCTTTTAGGTTTTCAGCTGTTAGGATGCCTGCTCTATATTTTCAGGGGGACTGGTATCATTTCATAAATACTACACAGCTGAAGATAAAAGCATCATATACAGATTTCATTGAAAGAACATTTAGAAGTTGTCTTCAATTCAGGAAACAGGCTATATTTACAAGTAATTTTGTTTATAGTCTCATATCAGCAGTTTGCACTTTGGCACCTGTAACTAGTGCAGTTTCCTTCTTTATATTGCCAAAATAGAACTCTCTTAGATTCTCATCTCTGCTGTGCGAAGTAAATGTTAACTGGTTTGCAGCCTGGGAAAAGAAACCATCCTAGTGTCTATTAGACGAGACTAAGCAGTCTCAAAAATAGCAACTCCTTGTAGCCTTCCTTAGAATTTGTTAGAGTCTGGCTATACCTGTTAGTTTTCTGCTTCCCTGCAGTCTCCATTTGAGATGAGGGCCTCTGTCAGAGTGGAGGGCAGCACAGGAAACATTTCCCTCCGCCTGTTCTGAAGCGACTGTGAGTCTCAGGAATCTCTCTAAGTTGAAGACTCATCATTTGATTTCTATAGTGCTAGGAGTTCTTCCAGGCCCTGTGCTTCAGAATAACCCTTCAATACCTGGAGATCTATTTTTGGAACACCCGTAACAGTGGAATATCATGACATGTTTTCTCTTCGAATCCCCCGCCCCCCCGTAGCGGGGAATGAACTCAGGACCTTGCGCTTGTGAGGCTGATGGCCGCCACTGAGCTAAATTAAATCCCTGGCCCTCTGTCAAATTCTTGTTCCTTGAATTTTTCTAGGTAACATGTTAATTTTATGCAAAAATTTTAAAAATTTCAGTCTTCAGCATAAATGGGTTAATTGTTGAGTACATATATCCCCCAGTTTTATCTTTTTTTAATTCAGATTTTGTAGGCTTCATTTACTAACTGGGCACAGTGGTTGTGTACCTTTAGTGCCAGCTACTTAGGGAGCTAAGCAGGAGAATTGCTTGAACCCAGGAGTTTTAAGCCAACCTTAACAAACCAAACAAACTTCATCTGCTAGAATCTTAGAAATAGAATTAATTTTAATTCATGCATTTTAAAAAATATCACCTTTGGAGTAATAAAAGATGTTAAGAATCTAAAGGATGGTCTGGGGATTTAGCTCAGTGGCCCTGCATCTGCCTCACAAGTGCAAGGTCCTGAGTTCTATCCCCGGTACCAAAATAAAATAAAACGAAAGGATGAATAATTAGGGAAAACAGACTAGGCACAGTTTGATTAATTCAGATTGAAGATTTCTTCTGGTTCAACCCGAGGACTGATTACTTTAGCAAAGCGTATTATGTTTATATGTATATACATATGTAGTCAAGAAAAAATAGTGTTTAGTAAGAGGGTATTCATTGTTCACGTGTATTTGTAATAAATGCATCATAACTACTTTGTTTCTTCTCTCTTCCTTGCTCACCTTCCCCCTATAGTAACATGCCCCAAAAGCCAGTGTGTCAAGGTCATGGGACAGACATGAATCACTGTAAGTGCAGCATTTATTTTTATGATGGAGTACCATTTATGAACTGATGGTATCCCAGATGTGATAACCATCAAAACTCAGTAAGCTGGATTAAGCTACCAAGTTGAGTTTGAAGAGTAAACAAACAACTGTAGGGCTGGGAGCAGTGGTGCACACCTGTAGTCCTAGCCTGAGCCCAACAGTTCAAGGCCAGTCCAGGCAGCACAGTGAAACCATATTGGGTGTGTCTGTACGTGTGTTTAAACTTTGGACTGAAGAGAAGATACATGTGATAGAGATGGCAGGACAGTTTCAAGTGAAGAGATAAGGTGAGGTGAACTCAGTCAGATTTGATTGGTACTTGCTAGGTGCTTGGAGTAGAGAAGTGAGAGATTATTTGGCCCCTGTGGGTATGACAGTTTTGTATTGTTATATTGTACAGTACTCAGACTTTGGTTTTTGACAGGGGGCAGCTGGCATTTTGTGCTACGTGGGTGCTTACGTCTTCATCACCTACGACGACTACGACCACTTCTTTGAGGACGTGTACACGCTCATTCCTGCTGTGGTGATCATTGCTGTCGGAGCCCTGCTTTTCATCATCGGTCTTATTGGCTGCTGCGCCACAATCCGGGAAAGCCGCTGCGGACTTGCCACAGTAAGCCAGTGCTTCCTGACCACTTACCAGCCCCATGCAGCTGTTTCATCTCTGTCACTGGCTTCTGGAACTAAGCGTGAAACACCATAGACTCCAAAGCTCTTATAAAGGAAAATAATTAACACTTGTGCTAAGTCTCTACCAGTTGTCTCTGATAATTGCTTTTTTTGTTTTTGTTTTTATGTTTGTTTGTTTGTTTGTTTTTTAGACAGGGTATCAGTATGTAGTTGAGACTGACCTGCAGCCCAGGCTGGTCTCAAACTCACAGCAGTCCACCTGTCTCAGCCTCCGAAATGCTAGGATTAACAGGCATGCGCCACCGTGCCTGGCTGATAATTGCTTTTTTGAAAAAATTTTAAAGTTGTTTTTAAGGACATTAGAATGACTTATTTTTTGTTTTTTTGTTTTTTGTTTTGTTTTATTAGTTCATGTTTATAGTAATAGTGATTACATTCCTCATGTGGAGTTGGTCCTTGCACTTAACACATCTTCATTCTTTTTGTTAATCTTCTCTTTTGAAAAAGACCTGATAATTGCTTTTTTAGCAAGAGTATTTAGAACTATTTTTTTCACTCTTGATTAATTTTTGACAATATTCCCTTACAGTTTGTCATCATCCTGCTCCTGGTTTTTGTCACAGAAGTTGTTGTAGTGGTTTTGGGATACGTTTACAGAGCAAAGGTATGTTGTCTGTTGTGATTCACATAGTGCTTTAAAGGGTGGTGTACGTTTTTCAAGTAAAGTAGAACAAGTTCATTTAATCAGAGCCAGCATTTTCTTTTGCTCCGTTTCTGTTGTGATGTTTCAAAATGTCTAAAGTTAATTAGTATTTACATATCAAGACTGCTAATCTCATTTAATGTAGCGGAGTGTAAGTTCTATTGTTCTTGATTATAGATATATTTAATTTTCTTTTAATTATCTCAGGATGAGCTGCAAATAAATAGATGATCAGCTGAGAAGTTTATTCAGATTTCCTGTCAGTGGAGTCTTGCATTGAAGGGAGGAGATATATAGACTTTGTTTTCTGAGAATTTCATTTTATACTGCTACTTTTAAAAAAATGCCTTGGTCCTGTATAGAAAAGATGTGTTGAGTTGGGATTCTCCCTGCCACCCCTCCTGAGGGCCAGGCTGTGCTGCTGACTGGAGTACAGAGGCAGCTGCTGTTGGCACTTCTTTTCTGCTTCCCTTTCCCTTTTCCTAGTCATTCCCTCTCTTTTTCCTTCCTTTTGTATTTTGCCTTTGCTTTCCATGTATAGTACCTATGACTAAACAGGCTATTTTAAATTAATTCTGGTAATTTAGGGTTTAAAGTCAAAGGCATGCTATGCCAAGTGGATAATGTTGCTAGAGAAGGAAGGGAGTATGCAACTGTGTTCCTCCCCAAAATATCCTTACCAATGACTTGGTTATCAGACAAATAGTCTCATCACATCACTGTTTTAATTACCAAATAGGTCTATTTGGTTGGTTTAGAGACCAGTAGGAGAACCTGGTACAAGCAGACTTAAGTAAATGATGCTTGCTCACTGCGCTTGTAATGGGCAATAGGAAGTTTGTTTCCTGCCACCTGTGTAACACACACTGAGCAGCTGCTTTCCCACAAAGTGCTGCTAAAGACTTATTTTTATCTGCTGATTACCTTTGTGTATTTGGCCAAGTCCAAACATTAAGTAAAATAGAAGTGCTGTTGGTATTTGTTCTGAAAATGGTAAGGCTTCATAGTCATTTGACTTTTACATCCCTTAGGAAAAAAAAAGTAAGTGGGTCTTCTGGGACACACTGAAGATTTATTTGCGCAAGGAAGGCATCCTTCTACAATTTAGAACATCTGTCCTAGTGCTCAGTTGCTCTCTCTCTCTCTCCTGAACAGATTATTAGCCTCCCAGCTTGCATGCCATCTTTAAGTATTTTTCATCTCAGTGATAGACTGTCTGAACTTTCTCCTTTCTGTTTGAATCTGTACAGAGGTAGGAGGGAAACAACCCCCATCCTCTTTAAAAAAAAAAATTCAGAGAGCTCTGGCAACTTGAAACAGCCATATAGGCATTAACTTTTGACTCATGCTCCTTTTAACAGTATTTTAGAAGGACTGATTTCTTTGTTTTGGTTCAGGTGGAAAATGAGGTTGACCGCAGCATTCAGAAAGTGTATAAGACTTACAATGGAACCAGCCCCGATGCTGCCAGCCGGGCTATTGACTATGTGCAAAGGCAGGTAAGCCTGCTTGAGATCAGGGTGTGTGAGGGCCACTCACTTGGGGCATTGTGAAATGTACTGCTACTGTGCCACTGGGCCATGTGCCTTCATAGCTGTGAGGAGCCTCAAGATGTTTCTGATCTTTTGCCCCCATCTTAACTCTTAAAGTTTGTTCTATTGTTTGTCACCTAGTCAAAGCAATTAGGAGACATCTTAGACTTTTTAAAATTATCTGACTGTCCCCACCAAAATAATTAACTAGACAGGTGACATGGAAGGGAGGTATGCATCACAGGAAAGTGGGAGTCCAGGTGGATTCTAAGAGAGCTGAGAGGTTCACATGTACCTGTAGAATACTAGGTCAGAAAGGACACAAAAGTGTAAAACGTGAAAAAAAAAATCTGTTTGTGTGTGTGTATTTTGAAACACATACAAAAGCAGAATTCTATGCTTATGATAGATTTTTGCACCAATAACTCTGCCTCAAAAATTGCCAACTTTTTATCAGTCTTATTTCTTCAGTTACCTGGACATATTTTTGTCTTACTATCCTAAAGCATCTCTTAGACATTTCAGATGAAATACTTTAAACACTTTGTCACTGGAAATACATAACTCAGAACCAGACAGATGTTCCAAGTACAAATAGGAAGATTTTCCTTGGCTAGAAAGTCCCTCTTATGGGGAATGTACTTTTCATGTGGAGCTTGTGTGAGTGTTTAAATTAAAATGAAAACCTTGGTCCTTTAGTCACACCAGCCACACTGTGAGTGCTCGAGCTAGCCCCTGTGGGTATGGTTACTATGAGGGACCTATCTGCTGATTATCTTTGTGATATTCAAACAGCCCAGAAATGATTCATTCAGAGGTCTCTCCCTGTAAACACAGCATTTCCTTCACTGCAGAAAGTACAGCTGGACAGTGCCAGTCTCAAGTAGCTATCGATTTTAAAGCTCTTTAGTGAGTAGAAAGCTACAGCTGAAGCCAAACATATGTGTTTGGTAAGGAGTAATGTCTGCTTTCTCCTCTAGCTGCACTGTTGTGGAATTCATAACTACTCAGACTGGGAAAACACAGATTGGTTCAAAGAAACCAAAAACCAGAGTGTCCCTCTTAGCTGCTGCAGAGAGACTGCAAGCAACTGTAACGGCAGCCTGGCCAACCCCTCTGACCTCTACGCCGAGGTGAGCCATGTCGGAGACTGGAGTCCCTCCTGATGTTCACTGTCTTCCATCCTAACCGAAACTTCTTTCTACCTCCTTGCTCTTCTTTAGTGCCATTTTATTTTAACATATTAGGTTGCTCTAATCACTTTCTTGCTCTAATCACATACTTTCTTTTCCCTGTTTGAGTTTCTTTTGTTTCCATTTCTGCCAGTGGATAGTAATCTGTGACTTCAGGTTTCACTTTCAAAAATGACTCCTGATGATGGTGACTTGATTGTGTTGCAGGGGTGTGAGGCTCTTGTTGTAAAGAAGCTACAGGAGATCATGATGCATGTCATCTGGGCGGCACTGGCCTTCGCAGCCATCCAGGTACGCATAGCTGGCCTGTGAGCTGGTGTCACTATTAGCTGGCTTCAGGTGTCAGCCTGAATGGGTACAGTCACTAAGGAGAGTGAATCTGGGTGTGTATTGGGAACTTAGAAGTGATTGTGGTACCAGCCCCTTGACTTAGGCCTAGAACCAGATGATCTAAATAATCTAGAGATGTGGCCTGGGGAGGGACTACATTGGAGAGTGGTCTTTCTTTGCCTTACTTTCTTGCCTTGATAAAGTGAATGACCTGTTCAAAATATAAACTGTTGTCAAATATTCTTGGGAGTTATCTTAATAGAACATCACAGAATTTTTAAAACACTGCTTTATTTCAGCTTGGAAATGGAAAGGTTTATTTCAGCCTTTTAGTACACAATTTCTTGTTCTTGAGAGTCTGAGACAGGATGTTGTCCAGGGTAGTATATTATTTCTCCTTGTCATTGAGGGTTTATTAACTGGTTCATTGATTGCTTATTTGAGAGAGACAGTGTTTCACTCCGCTGCCTAGACTGGTCTGAAACTCCTGGGCCTCCCCAGTAACTGAGGCAATCAGTGGGTACACAGCACTGCATCCAGCTGCTTAAGAGTTTTAGTATACATTTGCCCTAAATCAAGAACTCTTATTCTAAAAGAAACAGCTATATTGCTTTACAGAAAAGATCTCCCATTAAAACAAGTTCTAGCCTCTTCTGTATTTATAGACAGTTCTTTTAGACTGACAGCCACCCAGAAGTCCTTGATATCACTTGGCACATTGCCATTGTTGGTACCCGAGGAAACCTCTTTTTCCAACTCCTACCATTGAAAAGTCTTTTTCTACCCTAAGAATAGTTACTGCAAATTAACTGGTAATTGTTTAATTTTCTCTCACTTTATCTGCTTCCAGCCCTCCTTCCCTGCAAAAAAACTACATACCTTTCCGTCACTGCACATAAAGATAGATAATAGGCAGCCACTTTCCCACCCAGCAAGTCTACCCACACTCCTAGCTTCTCGGGTGCATACCATATCTCTTAGGGGAATGTCTTAGAGGAGTCTTACAGCTGAGAATAGCCAAATACTTGAAAATATTTGGCATCAAATCTAGTTTTCATAATATTCTTGTACTTCCTGACATAGGCTTCAGGCATAAATAATGTATTTTAAGAAAGAGCAGCTTTTCAGTTGTTAGATTAAAACCAGTGTAATTGCTGGTGTAAAGGTTAAGTTAAAAGTTGCTTTCATTGCCTGCTCCTTGTAAACAGAAGCTAGTATATTTAATGGGCAGTGTCTGTGAAAAGGCAAAGGGTGCTTGTTTACTTTGCTGGTATTCAAACAGCCCAGAAATGATTCATTAAATGGTCTCGCCCTGTACTTGGTGTGGTCTCTGCCCTTCTAAACATTCACTTTATGCTTCAATGTAGCAGTAACTTGATCAGCAGGGGTGTATTTCATATTTTGATTGTCCATGCAAACACATTTATTTAGCTAAAAATAATGAAATGAGAGGGAAGTCTCTTTTTCCAAGTGGAATCTTAGTGTGAGGGACAGTCTTAATGATGGTTTGGTAAGAAAGCTACACATATTACCATGCAGCAAAAAAGCTTTGGGACTGTCTGGTGCTTATGCTTGTGAAATATGCAGTAAGTATGCAAAAGACTGATGAAAAGCGCTACTTTAGCCGTGTTCCTCATCTCGTTAAGCTTATTAGCCACCCACATATTTCTTCATTAAATATTTTTCAGTGGGAGCTAATAAATATTTTAACTAGTTTCCTGATTGAGTGTATTTGCCATGTACGTTTTATGCTTAAATCACCCTGATTTAAGTAATAGCTGGTAGAGATTAGATATTTTCAGTTTAGCAAGGCCAAGGCAGGGATTTGGAGCTTTCACAGGCTCAAAACCTAGTGGTTTTGAAAGTGAAAATTTTTGATTTTTTAAGGGAAAAAACATGCATTTAAAATGGTAAAAGAATTTTGTATGTTAAGAGTGCTAGTAAATGTTCTAAGCTTTTGGTACTCAAAGTCTGATACAGATTGTGCCCTGGGTATGGAAAAACAGAACAAAGGCAGAGATAACTAAAATATTAGTAAGTTTTTGTGCTTATACGCCAATCCCAACACAGAATTTAGAGCTAGAAAGAACACTTAGCAATTCCCCCTTTGTTTTGCCATAAAAATTAGGACAATATGACTATGACCATCACATAGAGAGTGGTGAGACTAAAGCTTGAACCTTCCATTCCATTGTACTCTGTCTCCAATTACAGATCTAAGAATTCAGGTTCTCAAAAGATTGGATTTCTAAATTCTTTTAGGAATCCTCACAATTGACACTTGAGCTGGACAAAATGAGATAAAATGGAAGAGTGGTTGAAGCAGAGACTGATTCTTGTCTTCTGGCTTGCAAAGCCTAAAATATTTAGGAACAAAGTATTTTAAGAAAACATTGGCTGATCCTTGTTGTAGTCTAGTTGAACAGTCTAGGTTTGGGTAGGACCAAAATGATCAAGAAAAAATACCCTGAAGAATACTAGTTAACTATTACAACAGGATTTTTGAATACAAGAGAAACTACATTATTAAACAAGCTGTTTCACTTCTCTGCAAAAAGCCAGCCTCTTAGATTATCAAATGACTAGTTAGACATTTTATATTTAAAGGTTCCAGCCTCCCTCTGTCTGGACCCCAATTCCCTCTGTAGAGGCAGTGCTGTCAGTTTCCATGTATCTTGCCAGAAGCAGTCAGTACTTACTGCAAACATACATCGATTTTTTTTTTAAGCAGAAAAGATTGTAGGGTGCAGTCATAGGAAATAATAGAGCACCCTCACCTGCTTTGCTTGCTCTCCCCCAGTGGCAGTTTAGCAAGGCTGTGAGCCATTGGTCATCCACGAGTCTGCTTCTGAACAGCTTGTGGCTGGTGTGGGCTCCTGAATGCATTGCTGTGCAGGTACTGAGTGCTTCCTACCTGATGGGTTTCCCCCATTAATCTTTTTTTTTTGGGGGGGTTACTGGGGATTGAACTCGGGTCCTAACACTTGCAAGGCAGGCAGTGGAACCACTGAGCTAAATCCCCAGCCCACCCCCATTAATCTTAACAGCTGTACCACCTTCTTCCCCTCACCCCGACTACTGATAATCATACCTCTAGTGTTAAAAATTTGTCATTTCAAAGTGTTGTATAAATAGGATCATATTATTTATACTTTGCTTCTTAAAAACAAATTAGTATCTTTTATATATAGATTACTTTGTTTATCTCAGGGCTGTATATTCTGTTTTATGGATATAATGGGCATTTATGTAAGGTAAATCCCGGGTGTGTAAGTCTTGCTGTTACAAAGAAACAAGTAGTGAATATCTTCTCTTGAGCATGTTCATGGTCTCTATGTCATGAACCAAGGGTTGGAACATATCAGTGAATTTTGACAAATAGTTCCAAACTTTTCTCCAGAGTTTCACCAACGTGAAAGAATTCTTACTCTTGTATAAGAATACCTTTAGCTCAGTGGTGCCGCCGCCTCCCTCGCAGGCGCAACATCCTGAGTTTGATCCCCAGTAAAAAACAAAACAAAATAAAAAAGGAGTTCCTAGTTCTTCACACCCCTACCTGCCTAGAATGTCACAAGACATTTTACTTTGGCAGTCAGTTTTTAAAATTACCGTTCTCTTAGGTATTTGGTAAGGTTTTTCTTTTCTTTCTTTTTCTTAGTTCTTCACACCCCTACCTGCCTAGAATGTCACAAGACATTTTACTTTGGCAGTCAGTTTTTAAAATTACCGTTCTCTTAGGTATTTGGTAAGGTTTTTCTTTTCTTTTTCTTTTTCTTTTTTTTCTTTTTTTTTTTCTTTGCAGTTGCTGGTATTTTATATGGTTAGGTAGATTAGTTCCCAGGACTTAAATATTGCAAGGAAGTTATCAAGTTATCATTGGAAGAAATAACATTGGTGCTAAACTATTCATATAGTATTTTCCAAGTCTACTGTTGGAAATTTTAAATAATCGATGAAATTTCAGTATAGCAAGGCTTTGGAAATGGGCCTATGATCTTAATAATGAGAATAACAAGTTTTGATGCAGAGCTTGCTGTTCTTAGACTTATTCCCAAGCATATTTACATGTGTGCTTTGTATGTGTGTGTGAGAGGAAGAGACAGAGAGACAGAGACAGACTGGAGATTGAACACAGGGAGTTCACACTGAGCTACATCCCCAGCCTGCTTGCTTGGTTTGTTTGTTTGTTTGTTTGTTTGTTACTTTGAGATAGGGTCTCACTGTGTTGCCCAGTCTGGGCTGGAACTAGAATTGTCCTATCTTAGCCTCCCAGGGTACCATGACTGCAGTCATGGGCTAACCATGCCTGGCGTAAAGAGTTTTATCATGCTTTTTAAAATTATTTTTAAATCAACACAAGTTGACTTAATTGCAATCAATGAGGAAAGAAGTGAAACTTCCTTCAGACTTTTTTCTGAGAGTGCTGACTGTCCAGCAGAAGTGAACTTGCTGAAAATAATGTAGAGAGGGAGTGTGAGAGATTTTTCTCCTAGCAAATCAGTAATTTCTGAGTTTAGCTCCCCCCACCCAATTTACTATTGCCTGGGAGCCAGTTGTGTTTGATTTTATAGCTGAAGACTGCTAAGATGGACGGTGACAGAAACATACCAGGAATTAGACACTATGTCTGGCTCAAGAATCGGTTTCAGCTGCTGAGTCAGTTCTCCACCGTATCTGCTCTCCCACATCGCTAACAGGCTTGCACTAGTACAGTGGAGCCATGGAGTTGATAGCAAGTAGGTCCATGTTCTGAGCGGTAGAGTCCAGGCTCACAGAAGGGCTGGACCCAAGTGTGCAGCTGTGAGCCGTGGTGGGTGAGGATGTCCGCCTTATCTGCACTCCTTAGTGACCTTATACCTTGGGCTCAAAGAGTCTGATGGACCAGGTACATTTCATTGAGATTACATTGATCCTGTACGTCAGGGACCCTGCATGTAACTCAGGTCTTCACTGTCGGCGAGGGGTGGGAACAGCAGGGTCACATTTATTTAGTCCTTCAGTTAGCATTTATAGTATTTTGTGAGAAGCTGGGTCAAAAATTCTAGAATCATTTTCTCCTTAATCCAGCTTAACCCTTTTGCTTATGTAAAGTAGTAGGACATGACTGACTGTATTACTGCTTCATTATGCTACCTCAGAAGGATTAGGGTTTATGAAAATAAAATAAGGAAGAGTGACCTTTAACAATACATAATATGTATCTAATGCCACAGAATCAAACTGGATTTTAAAAATAGGAAATGTGAAAGAAGTAAAAACAGATTACATTTTTGGCATCAGGAGTGGTCTTCCAGCATGGGGCTGTTGGGGTATTGAGTGGTGAGATGGTCGCAAAGCCTGTTGTCCCCCCGAGATGGAGATATTGTACACGTTGTCTTGGTCATTCCCTCCCTAAGCCTTTGCTGTCCAGTGTGGAAGCCCCTGCCTACGTGTGTGTAATTTAACTGAAAATTAAACTGTAACTCCTTAGCAATGCTAGCTGGTTTCAAGTCAAGTGTTGAGTTGCTCCTTGTGGCTGGTGGCTGCCGTGCTGGGGGACAGGGCACACACAGAAAGTCCCATCACTGTAGTTGCTGTGTTAGATGGCACTGGGTTGGTGGGGAGGCAGTAAGGGCCTTGACTCAGCCTCACCGAGTTCCTAGGTATGAAACAAGGAAGCTGATGTTTAGTACTTAAAGAATATCATATTCATCAAAATCTTCCTTTTGCTATTACTAATTTTTGATGATTTCAGGACACTCATCCTAAAGGGACTTTCAGCCTTTCTTGTTCTCTCTCTGCAGCTGCTGGGTATGCTGTGCGCCTGCATCGTGCTGTGCAGGAGGAGTAGAGACCCTGCCTACGAGCTCCTCATCACTGGGGGCACCTACGCCTAGCAGAGGCCCAGCCTGAGCTCTCTCGGTCTCACATGGCTTGGAGGTGGACTGAGCAGGTCTGCTGTGCTGGCTCCGAGTTCTCTAGTTGAAGCGCATGAATGCTGGTGTTGGGCAGAGCAGCTTGGCTTTTCATACCCACTCACTTACCTCCCCACCCATGGCTTTCTTTCCTGGTTCTAGCCGACTCTCCACGCCCCTGGGTTTTAAGTTTGGCATTCGACTCATTTCAGAATCATTTGCAAGTTGCATAGTGTGGTAGGATAAAGAAAGGCAGAGGCGTGCTTCTGTCACTTCCAAGTAGTGACAGGACTCTGCTGTGGGATCACTGGGTCCTTTCCGTCTTCACAGTGGAGAACTCTTGCCCAGAGGCTGTGGGGGTAGGAGAGGAAGCCAGCTGTCTGGTAAAATGAACACCAGATGGTGCCCCTCATCAGTGTCCTTTACAAATATATACTGTAGTCCAATAAGGTAGCAACTGTACAAAATGGCTAAGATAGGTTTTAGATCACATAGAGTGTATCTTCCTTCATCTTCAGAATGAGACTGATGTTTGAAACTAGTGGTTTTAATCAAAACTGGCTTCATAGGAGGAGTATAATGTATGCGCCACTGTTTTAAAACAGTGAGAGAATGTGTGTGTGACTGAGCCCACTATCATAAGTCTTCAGCTTGTTAGAGGTAATGTACCCATGTAGACTAGCAGAATAGTATGTAGACATGATCTCAGTTGTAAATAGAAAATCCTAATTCAATAAACTGTATCAGCCCTCAACAGTTTTAATTATTTGGGGAATTTTTCAATTCCAAAGTTGCAGTGTAATGTTTCAAATGTTAGTGCTGTCTGATTTGCCTGTGTTTTCATTATATCTGTTGCCAAATTCTGTTTTTGTTGTTGCCAAATTCTAAAGGCCTTGGTATTCGAAACACCCATGATGCTTTCCAGTCTAGCATATTTACAAATAATGGAACCACTCTGTGCCAGACCAGGGGACACAGTGAGAAGCTGTCCTTCCCTCAGGAAGTTTGAAGTCCTGACCTGGGAGATGTGCAGAAACAGGTGATTTTCATACATTTCAGTGATCGGAAAAGGGGAACAGGGTGCCTGGAGCCTTTGAGGCTTCCTTGAGACTCTGGGCCTAGAGGCTGCACAGGCATTTTGGGAGAAGGGTACCTAAAGGCATGAAATGGACTAGGCTCAGTGTGCCTGGAGCCTAACTGCAGGGCTGAGGAAAGAAACTGGAGATGAGACAAAGTCCAGATACTCTCAGCTTATCTGTGCAGGGTAGACTGAATACGTAGGCAAGGGCAGCCATGCTGCAAGCAGATCTGCCCTAGCTGGTACCCAGCCCAGATTTGGAGCACAGACGGAAGGGAGCATGACAAGGCCCCAGTGGGATCTCTGCAGTTCAGGAGAGCTGAAGGGCATGGAGCAGGTGCCGGGCTGCTGACATGATCCAAGTGCTACTACGGACAGTGTGACTGAGAATCACTGTGATTGCCTATTGTCTTTTAAAAAACAGTTTTATTTGGAAATAATTTCAAACCCATAAAAAAGTTATGAGGAAATAAACCCCTATATACAGGAGGCCCAAGTGTCCTTTACCCAGCTATACCTATTAATATTTGTCCCATTCAACTTATAATCATGTTTTCTCATAATGTGCTTGTTTTCTCTGGCCGCATAAGGCCTAGCCCATTGTCCCTGGTGCTTCGGTGGGTATTTCTTAAGAATAAAGGCATCTCCCAGTTCACAGTAACGTTAGCAAAGTCAGTGCATCCAGCACTGACACTCACATCCCAGCTCACCTTGAGGTGTCCTTCGCAGTTTCCCCTGCAGGCCTGGATCTGTCTAGGACTGGGTCTGTTTGATTGTCTTTAATCTGGAGCATTTCCATAGTTTTGTCTCTTACATCATTGATGTCCAGGAAGAAAGTCTGTTATTTTAAATGCTGCTGCTCATTTTGAGTTTATCTCTGTTTCCTGTAGATTAGGTTAGGTTTTGCATTCCAGGCGGTGGGAACACAGCTCACTCCTCTGTGCTCCTGAGCACCGTGTTGTAAGGTCCACAGTGTCTGTGTGTCCCACCTCTAATGATGTTAATCTGATCACCTGATGTAATGAAAGTATAAGCAGGAAAATTTTCCTGTTTTTACTGTGTAAAAAGTAGTTAACTACTAAGAGGAGAAAAAAGTCTCTAAAACAGCCTAGCAAAACCAGCTGTCAGCCCATAGGGCCAAAGGAAGAAGTGAAGAGGAAGGAGCTCAGAAACTCGGAGCCCCTGCCCCCTGCCCAGTGCTGAGAGGCTGCCACAGAAAGACTGCCCTGCACAGAAGAAATCACTGGAGGTACCTGATACAGGCACAACCACGGGACAGAACCTGCTGTGGAGGATGCTGCAGAATCCTTGAGTACTGGCAGCTGCATCTTTCCTCCTTGGGCCTTCTCAGCCCCTTCAGCACCCTGTGGCCAGCTGGCAGAGGAAAGTTTCCCCATCAGTGTCACAAGGCAAGGTGGGTTCAGAGCTTCGAGACAGTGGATGCCTGCAGTGAAGGAGTTACTGCTTTCCCTCCCAACCTTTAAGTGTCTCTGGTGTAAACACCCTGCTCTCCATCACTTCTCCCTAGAGCTGGCAAACAGTACTACCCTTACACTATTCCATCTTCTCCAGGTCGAGTGCTAAAGCATGCTTTTCCAGTCCAGCACTCTGACCTCATTTGCCAGGCTGCCCACCCTCCCTTCCTGTTGCTTGTTTCTGTATGTCCACTTCCACCCACAGAAGACTATGAATCCTGTTCCTGTAATTATCACTGTCTGAGAAGAGAGGGGGCCTTGTAAAATGCTTCCAGATGGGCCAGTGAGCCCTGTTGCCCCATGACCCCACATTGTTTGATGCACTTCTTTTGTTAAAACAGATGATGTCTGGATCTACCTCCCTTTTGTGGCTCTGATCATATCTTTGGTTTTCATCTCAGTTGACAGATTTTTGTCTTGCATCTTTTTCAGAAAAAAATTTTTTTTTAGCAAAACTAATTGGTGTTTTAAAAACTGTTAATACAGAGAGGCAGGAAGATGACAAGCTTGAGCCCAGCCTGGGAACTCAGTGCGACCCTGTCTCAAGATAAAAAATGAAAAGGTCTGGGAATTTAGCTCACGTGTGAAGGCCCTAAATTCACTTCCTACCCAATACTGCATATACACGTACATACAAAAAGTATTTAGAAAATAGCAGGAATATCTATAAAAAAACAAACCACCCACAGGTGAGCCAGTTAGGAGTGGTATATGACTTTCCAACTTCTCTACTTGTACGAGGAAACAGGCTTGGTGGTGGGTTTTGCTTTTGCTTTTTCCTTTACTTGAGGTTTGTTCTACATGGTCTGTCTTCCCAACACAGCATAGCATGGTCATCCTTCTGGGTTGGATGAGTAAGACTTGTCGTTGCCTTCTGTTGGCTATACATCAATGCCACAGTTACCCATTGCACAGTGGATGGATCTTGAGGCTGCTTCAGCTTTTCAGCTGTGAACAGCACTATGTGCATAGTCACACATCACCTCATGGTAGGAATGCGTCCTGAGAGCTTGTGGTCAGTCATTTAGGTCATGGTGTGAAGTTAATAGAGTGTACTGAGCGAGCCTGGAAGGTGGAGTCGGTCACTGCGTGGCCCAGCTGCAGTTAGGACACCTGGTGCACACAGACATCAGAGGCACTGCAGTGTGACTGCACCTGCTGCATGTTCACTTGTTTGCAGACACAGGAGTGCTCTCTCAGGTGTCATTGACCAGTCTTTTGCTCACCTGGGCTACATCAAGTGATGCCAAGTTGTCCTGGGTCACATGTAAAATGCATAATAAAGCTAATGTATGTAGCAAAACTTTTTAAAAAACGTTTTTCTTACGGCATTTAAAAATATGAGTGTAAGTGGCCCATGGGCCAGAGATGGGACGTACCTGCCCCAGAGTAGTGATTAAAATCTAGTATTAAATCCATAAACCAGTAATGGTGTTTTACCACACCTGCACTGTACATAATTACATACTGTATATTCCCATGACTGCACATAGTGTGTGTACCCCATACCTGAGGAGTGGCCAGGTTGTTAGGACAGCTGTGACCTCACTAGGCAGTAGGGGTTTTTCAGGTCCTTTGTAATTGCGTGGGACCTCCTCAGTATGTACAGAATCTGTTGATGAGAACCACAGGCAGGCATCTTGAACTGAAGTGCATGTGGTACAGAGTAACCCTGTAAATAGCCAAGAGGTTGTAGTGCCTGAGAGTGTCATGCAGCCACCACTTGTGCTAGTTCAAGTCTCTTGATCACCCTGTGATGTGCATTTTTGCATGGACTTACAGAGAGTTTTAGTATGTAATGAATTTAGTCTGCACCAAAAGCTGTATGTAAATTTTTCATAAATCTAGCTAGTTGCTCTTCAGGAAGAGAACCAATTCATCTTCCCACGTCTCCACAAAAAGGTGCCTTTCCCATCCCTCGATGACACTTGGGGTGTTACCAGCCTTCATCTCTTCTTCCAGTCTGGCAGATGAAAATATGTATTGAAGTGTGAGTGAAGCCCAAAAATGTTTCTGCTGTTTGTCTCCTCAGTTTTCACTTTCTATCCTTTACCCAGTTTTTGGAGGCAGGATCTCACTATGTAACACAGGCTGGCCTTGAACTCACCATGGTTCTCACCTCAGCCTCCCGAGTGCTGGGCTTACAGTTGTGGGCCACCATGCCTACCTCTCCTCTGCCCAGTGTTACATGCTGTTGTCTTAATTTCAATGGATCTTTACAGAGTTCACTTGGGAAACTTCTCTGTGAAACTCAGACTGTTGCTACTGTGAATGGAATAGTTCTGCTGCATTTCCTAGTGTGCTGTGGTGTGTAGGAGTACCTATTTTGTGTATTGGTCTCATATCCAGCATACTCTCTGGTTTTTGAAAATATTTATTTTTTGTGGCTTTTTATCACATGCCTCTAGGTTCTCCTGAGAGTATTACTTGGTGTCTTTAGAGAGACCTGTTCTGGGACTGTGCCGCCTTCTCATGCCAATGGTGGGAAACAGACATCCAGTTTCTGCCTGACCGGGCCAGACATATCTTTCTGCCAGGGCCACTTGGCCTAAGGTATTCTAGGACATGGGAATTCACTGTGGACACCAGTGTCTCATCGCTGTCAGGCAGGGCACAGTGACACAGCCACCACTGTCCCAGAGCACTCAGGTGTGCCAAGCTCAGAGCCACTGTTGAGAATGGCTAAGATTTGGAGAATGTGGGTCTTATTAAAAGTGGCAGTCCCTTGCTTTTCTTTTTTCCCTTCCTTCCTTCCTTCCTTCCTTCCTTCCTTCCTTCCTTCCTTTCATTCATTCATTCTTTCTTTCTTTCTCTTTTACTATTAAAGATCATACCTAGGGGCACTCTGCCATTGAGTTGTATCCCCAACCCTTTTTATTAGTTTTGAGACAAGGTCTCACCCAGTTGCCCAGGCAGGACTCAGACTTGGACTCTTCCTACCTCTGCCTCCCTAAGTGGTAGTCCCTTGCCTTTAATTGGTGTTTGACTGTTACCTCCTTTGAAGAGTAGGGGGATAACAATTTGCATAGCTGTATTGAACCCATCTTACTGTAATGAAATTGGGGCCCAGAAAAATCACTTCTAGGACCACCCAGCTGGCTTCAGATGGTGACATTCTGACCTCAGAGGCCGTAGTCTCCCCCTGTCCCACACATATCAGGCAGAGGCTGCATAACAGCTCCTGTTACCTGGCCCCATGTCCCCTGCTGGGGGACCTCCCACCACCATGCACTTGGCTTCCACAGCTGAGGCTGTGACCTGGACACACGAGGACAGTGGATGAAGCTGCAGAAGGGATGAGTCTGACTTGAATTAATTCTTGGGTTTTTTTCCTGGTATAAATTGTGGACAAAAGTTGCTTCTCATTCTCTGGCTGCCTGAACATTGGAAAACCGCACCATTAGCTAACACTCGTTACCTGTCAGGTACCACATGCCTGTCAGAGCTGATGATGAATATCTGGGTCAAAGGTTTCTAAAGAATAGTTGCAGTGAAATGGGATGCTCCATCAAGACGACAGGTGTTTGCAGGGAATAAGTAATGCCCTGGTTCCTGCCTCTGCTCCTATTTTCTCTTTGCTGCCCACACATGCCCTGAATCCCTGGTCAGTCCTGTCACCTTGTGCAAGCCCTGTCTCTGCGTCATCTCCTCCTGTTCCATGTAGGGCTGGGGCAGACCCTCCCATCTCTAAGGCTTAGCTCGGAATCCACTTCTGACTTCCCCTCTTCAACCTTTCATCTCCCATCCCAGAAGTTACCAGTCCTGTCCAGCTGCTTCTCTCTCTTCCAGGAGGATCTCCAGCCAGGTGCCACTTCCCATGAGCCACCAGGCCCCAGTCAGACAGCCCACTTTGGAAGGGCCTAGAAGTACCTGGCTGCCCCTGTGAGGGAGAGAGCTCTTCTGGGCACTTCTCTAGCTTGGCATGCCCCACCCAGCTGGTCATCACACAGGAGTCGTGAGTCCTTATTTTAGCAGTCACTGCCCGGCATTCACACTGGAGTCCTCAGTCTTCGTTGTTCTGGTGACGGGCCTGGGACCTGGCAGGGCTTGAGGGATGGTTCCTGGCAGCCTTGGGCGGGGGGTGCTGGTTGAGACAATGTCTTACTGTCTCAATCTGGCCTTGAACTCAGCCTCCCAAGTGCTGGGGCCATTTTTTTGCCCCAGGTAGCCTTCAAGGCCAGTGCTCTTCGCTGACTTACGGTTCTCTTCTGGCGTCCCTGTCTGCAGACTCAGACCTGGGGATAGGGTAGGCTTGACACTCCCAAAGGCGTCCCTGATGTTTTGGGAGGATGGAGGACCTCGCTGGAGGCTGCTACACACCTCTGCACCTTTGCCTGGCCCACCCACAGGCCTGCAGGTGCCCACACCTGACCAAAGGCACCTTCCCAGAAGAGAAAGGAAGCCTGTCTCACCCTTCACTTGCGACATTTGCATAACGAACCCTGCCTTTTTGCTCAGATGATGTGGGTTTAGAGGTCGGTATCTGTAAAATATCCTTGCCCTCACATTTGATGTTTGCCTGGGTATATGGGACAGGCTCTGAATGCTGACCACCACAGGAGAGGCTGGGCAGAGCCAGGGCTGTGGGGAAGCCCCAGGTCCACAGAGGCTGTGGCATGATACTATCATGGGCTCCAGCAGACCTGCCACCTGCTTCCTGTGCCAGGCTAAGTGTGCCTTGCACCTTGCTGGTGCTCATACTTGCCTGTCCGGACTGCTGCCTCCAAGACCACCCCTTCTGGTCCAGGAATCCTGGTCTCCCATTCCAGCCCTCGTGTCCCCAAGGTACAGGTATCTTTGTGGCAGTCTGGAAGATTCTATCAGCTGGGACCAACTCTCCTCTCCCCAGGGGGATTGGGATGGGGTGGGGATGGGGCTGTGTTCCAACTCCTGCCTCTGATGGAGGAAGGGACCCAGAAGACAAAGAGGACATGGCACGCCTTTTTATTCCTGGGGAGCAGCCGGCACTGTCCTGGCCACAGGCAGGTGGGTCAATCAGAGCTTCTCCAGGTAGGACCCGGGGACAAAGCCTCGCTGCCCGTTCCGCTCCACTGTCCACCAGCCATCCTCCCCCTCCAGGATGACTGCCAGGATGTCCCCCGCAGAGATGTCCAGTTCCTCAGAACTCTGAGCAAAGATGGTAAGTGCGTGAGATTGGAGAGATCTGTGGGAGCTGGCCTGGCACCCCACCTCAGCAGGAAGTACACACTGGGGGTGCAGTCAGCTGAGCCTCGCCATGCCCAGCTGGCCCATTTGGGGGCAGACGATGTGAGTACCTCCCTGTGTCAGCAGCCTCCCCCACCTGCTGCAGCTGTTGGAGCACCAGAGTCAGGGGTGCTCAGCACCCCCAAGCTAAGGACATGCTCCTTTCTCAGGGCTCACCACATAGCCTCCTCTGCTGTGGGCCCAGATGTCACTGTCTGGCCACTGATGCAAGGGCACCTGGTCATTGTGCTGGCCTAGCGCCCTGCCAAAGACCAGCCTTGGGGTCAATGTCCCTGCATGGCCTTGGTCAACCAGGGGCAATACCCAGAGCTCCCAGACCTGCAGCCCTCCCCTCCATGCAGGGAGCAGACTTGAGTCTTGGTACAGCCACCCTCAGCTGCCTCAAGCAGTCTTCAGGGACGCAGAAAACCAGTTCCAACATGGCCAAAGAACCCATTCTGGCCATGTAGTTCACACCAATGGCCACAGGATGGGGCCCTGAGCCAAGTGGCAGAACCTGACCCTCAAACCAGACTCTGTAGAGCAGGACCGGCTCCCACCTGCGCTGTGTAGTCGTACAGTGCCCGGTAGTCTTGAGCCAGGCAGTCCTGGGCAGGTGCCTCCTGCACAGGGACGGCGATGTCTGCATAGACACACTCCTTTCGCTCCGGGGTGGGCGTCAGGGTCTCTGTGGAAGCTGAGAGGTGAGGTTGGGCCTACCCCTTTCTAAGGACCATCCCTTGTGGTCCTGTCTACCCCCTTGCTATTGGAGAGCCTTTTCAGGGTTGCACCTATGCCACCTGGGTATTCTTCCCCTGGAATCAGAGTTTGGGGACCCCCCCAAATCATCCCATTACCAGTAGGAGCTTGCAAGGTTATGGTCTTTGGACTTCCATGCAGCAGCCCGGAGAACCTGGGATGAAAGAGGGTTAGTCCCTTCATTTGGGATGGAGAGGGTGAGGCAGGGAAACTGCAGACCTCTGGGATGTCCTGCCAGGGCTGGGTCCCAGCCTCCCACACGAACATAACTTATGGGGTGTCCTGAAGACAAGGGCTCCCCAAGAGTGTTTCCTGTGCCTCTTCTGTGACACTCCTAACCTGCTGCGAGATCTGTGAAAACACTCAGGTCCCCATTCCTGCTGTAGCCTTTCCTGTGGGGCAGGAGCACCTGCTGTAACACCCTGGTGGGGCTGTCACCAGCCTGGGCCAAGCCATCCCTCTTCCTCCTCCTCCTGTGGTCCCACAGTGACCAGAGGTCACAACACAGCACAAGGACCATGGCCCCTGGCCACAGCCAGCTTGAGAAGGGCTGGGGAAACCTGGGGAATTCCCAAGGGTGCAGGCTCCTATGTACAGAGGGTGCCTGCGGTACAGAGTATACTGCAGACTGATGTCCAGGGTCCAACCAGTGGTAACCAAGGGACAGGAAGCTGGCATGAGATCAGTCAGATAAGTAATGCGGTGTAATTGTGCAGTGTCTGGATCCCTGCACCACAGGCTCCCTGAAGCTTGGCTGAGCCTGTCCTGCCTCCCGAGTATTCAGCACTCACAGGATCCAGAGAAAGTAAAGCATGGCAAAGCCCCCATCACTGCGTGCTGACACCCACCACTGCTCACCTCTTCATCATGCTACAGGACAGCTGCACACCAGGACTGCCAGCCGACTGGGCAACTTCCCGGTCATAGTAGTTCTGGTAGGGCACTGGGGCTGAGATGGCATGCCTGTGAGGCCCAAGGGGGGCAGCAGGACCTAGGCCCTCACCCAACACCCCGGCCTGGGCCCCATTTCAGGCACAACAGTAATGGATGGATTTGCTGGGACCAATCAGGCTGGGGTGGGGCTAGGGGCCCTATCCTCACACCCATTCTCAGTTTCCTGGGACTCTCACCTCAGGGAGGCAGCTGGCCAGGGACCCATAAACTGGGGAACTGTGCTGTCCCCAGCCCCTCCCCCTTGAAGAGCTGAGGGCCCCCCAGTTCTCCCCAGCCAAGGCTCAGACAGCCCTGTGGCTTCCTAGGCCAGGCAGGCCCTACCTGGGGGCTCGGTGCCTGTGCCCTTGGCCTGGATGAAGCTGTTGATGTCGGCATCCACACTGCAGCCTTCCAGTGTCAGCCGCACCTCCTCATAGAGCTGAGATAGAAGAGAGCAGAGGCTGTGCACCAGGCTGTACCCTGGGGGTCAGAGCCCCAGCTAACTTCCTACTTCCTGAGCACTTCTGTGAAGGGGCCCTGTCTACCATGTTTTGTAGGAAACAGAATGGGGCAGGGATGAGCCTATAATGAAGCAGTGCTACAGGCTGAGTGGGTCCAGGGACCCAGGAGGCCATTATCTGGGTCAAGTCATTTGAGAAAAATAACCCAGAGCCTGCAGGTAAGAGGGTTCCAGTTTCCTTGAAAGCTCAGGACTTCCCATGCTTGGGATGCTGGGAGCAAGGCTGAGAGGTCTGAGACTCCTGACAAGCACAGAAGGCCAGATAGCTGCTGTCCATCCCTGGACATCCCTCCCACTTGCCTGCTCCTGCCTGCCTACCTCATCGTCCTTGACGCACTGCATGGAGAGCTGGTTGCAGTGCACCCACAAGGCATTGCGCAGGATGATCAGCCTGTCAAATTCCTGAAGCTGGAAGGCCTGTGGGTGACAGGAGGAGGGGCTGTGGGCTGGGCCAGGTGAGGCTGACCAGCCAGGCACGGAGTCTGACAAGATGAGAAGATGACTCCTGGGGTACCCAGCCCACCACTATGCCCCTCCAGGCTGCCAAGCAGGGTGTGAGCCTTGGGGCTCCCAGGGAGGCCAGCAAGAGGACACAGGACCTGGCCCTGATCCCTGGTCTCCAGTGGCCATGGCAGGGCCCGGGAGCCACAGCTTTTCCTGAACAGGCTTACGGCTTCAGCACCCAGGGGTGAAGGGTGCAAGATAAGGAGCTAGGACACAGAGCTAGGTGCCCAGGACAGGAACACCCACCTCAGACAGCTATTATGTCAGGGATGCAGCGGGGAAACAGTGAGCTCAGCCTCACCTCACAGGTAGTCCGGTGCTCCTGCTCCCACTCGGCCCGCACCTTCTCCAGATGCTCGATGCTCTGCCTGTACACCCTCTCTGCAAGCACAGCCAGCTTGGGGAGGCCGCCCCAGACCCTATCTCCCATCCCCAGGAGCCCAGGGGAGCTTCCTGCCTGTAGGGCCCCCTGTATGACGCAGGCCTTGGGGACTCCCAGCTCTGTGTGAGGGCTGACCTGGGTCCCCAGAGGCTCAGGGAGGGCATCCATGCCCAGGATGGAGGCAGGTGGAGCTACTGGGTGGGGAGCTTGGCAGGCTTGGATCGCTGGTGACCTATCACCAGCCAAGGGTGTGCAGGGCACATGGGGAGGAACTGTCCTGGGCAGGGAAGCCATGTGTCTAGGAGGTTTGCTAGCAGGGACTGGTGTCAGCTAAAGGACAGGATGTTATTTGGGCATGTTGCTTTGCCTCTTTGTGCCTCATCTGTTTCCCCATCTGTTAAAAAGGGGTTAATGGGGCGGTCAGCCCTACATACCTGCCTCAGTGGCTGCATCCTTGCACTGCTTGGCCTTGTTCTGGCTCTGAGGGGTGGAAGAGAGCTGTACTGAGTTCCTGCCCAGGCCCTGGAGCCACACAGGAATGACTCTCACACCGCTGCCACCCAGGGGATGCTCATGGGTACCTTCCATCCTTTGGGGCCTCCCCACAGTGGTGGAGAGTTCATGGAAAGGGAACAAGCCAGAGCTGCAGTGCACAATGGACATTGAGACGGAGGGTGGAGCCATGGCCACTGAGCCTATGGCGGGACCCAGGCTCCGGAGCCTGCCTTGCCCCAACCCACTCACAGGCCCTGCCCCTTGGGGCCTTGCTTGTGTGCCTGTATGCCAGGTGACACTGTTTTTGGGCCTGGGCACCTCTGACACCTCCAGCCTGGTCCCAAAGCCCAGGTGGTCAAGAGCTGGGCCTGGACAGCCTAGGTGTGGGTCCTTTCTCTGCAGCCCCCAAAGACTTCTTGTCCCTGCACTCAGGGCCTGCCCTGAGGATGGGATCCTGGGTACCACTGGAGGTGGCAGAAGGGACCCAGGTCACCCTCTGTCCAGGCCCCGAGGTTCACTCTGTAGGCCACTGCAGAGATGGAGACTGTGGGTCAAAGGCAGGTGATGGTTGGCGCCTCCCCACACACACCCTGCATGGCCCCCGAGAAACCAGCACCTTCTCCACTTGCTTCTGGCTGACACTGCTCCCACTGGCACTGATGCGATCGCAGGCCTGCTCGGCATCGTCTGCGTCCCGGCACTTCTGCTCGTATGTTCTCTTGGACTGGGGTGTGGAGGTAGGGACTGAGGGCTAGGCAGTCTGCTGTGGTGCCCCAGAGCCATGCGCCGCAAGCCCAGATTCCCTGTCCCTGGCAGGACTGTGGTGAAGGGGTCTCCACCAGGGACAGAGATCTGGGAGTCAGAGGCAGAGATGAGGAGGCAGGGGCAGCGTCCTTCCCACTGGGACAGTGGTGCACCCACTTCAGGATGCAGTTCCCAAGGAGGCACCTGGGGGACCTTTCTCCCCTTCCCACCTGGGATCTTGAGGATGCCATCCACGGACCCCCCCCATCATACGGTCCCCAGCCAGCAGCGTGTTCTCCCTGTGGCCACCCTGAGGGACCCGCCCCTGTCCTTCCCTCGCTGATCCCCTAGGGCAGTGGTAGTGAACCTATGGCACATGTGCTACAGTGGGCTGTTCATATCATTGAAAGCCGGAAAAGGTTCATCTTCAATGCACTAGGGGCCTGTATCCACCTGGGCGTGGAGCTGAAATCTGGGTGGAGGCAAGCGTGGCCTGGTGTCCCCAGGGCCCCTCACCTCCATGGCCTTCTTGTAGAGTGACAGCTTGCTCTTCTGGATGCGGTCCATTATGGCCTCATACTGCAGGGGTGGGTTGGGGGAGACACATGGGGCTCTGAGCAGGGGCCACCACCTCAGATGCTCCCCTAGACCGAGGGGATAGACCCCAAGGGCTACTTTCTTCATGGTCAGGACTTGGGCTCCACCAGAGTTCTCCCTGCACAGGGACACGCAGACATATACAGACACAGGGATGCACACACAGACACACTGAGACATGCAGAAACGCTCAAGCACACACACACCAAGACAGAGTCCTTTCTTCATTCACAGCCTGTTCTTATCACTGTTGCTCACACCCTACGTGCCCTGGTACTCCCACGTGTGCCATGTCCACACTGGACTGCTCATGCTTGCACACAAACTCACAAGCATAGACCAAACCCTCTACAGGGTGAGCACCACAGTACTAGGGTTATGCACAGCACAGCAGCCCCTTGCTCAGGTGGAGGCTGCGGGAATGTGGGGGGAGGGGATTAGAAATGACACCCATGTGCCTCAGTGCCCAGGTCTCAGGGTTGGGCCAGGTGGGAGACTTGGTCAGGTGCCCTGAAGCACAGGCTCACTCGTGTGTCCACACTGAGACACACATGTGCCCAGGGCCAGGTGAGGACATGGCCAGCTGTGACCTCCACAGCCCCACCTGGTGGCAGCAAACGCTCTACACGTTCAAGTCCCCACTCAGATCCCTGCCTGGCACCAGGGTCAGCAGCCCTGGGGACCCTGCCCCCTGGTGGGCAGACAAGTGGCTGCACTGAACTCCCGCCCTTGGCACCACCGCTCTGAACATTGTTCTCAACACTTGGGGAGGTAGACAAAAGTCCCATGCTACAAAGGGAAACTGAGGCAGAGTGTGGGGAAGTTGCCTAGCCTGGCCTGCTTGGGAAATCAGCTTTCCTCCATCTGTGTCCGTGTTTGTGCGTGTCAGTTCTGGCTGTAAATGACGCTTTCGCTCCATGCCATAAGCATCTGTCACTCTTCCCAGCCAGGCCCCAAGCCCTCTGCCGCCCTGCAGCCTCTGCTCACACACTTCCCACAATGGGGGCCTCCCACCCTGTGGTCACCCCGAGGGCCAGCCATCCCTGCCAGGTCAGAAGCGGCTCCAGCCACTCAGCTGACCCACAGTCCCCGCCCCACGGTCTGCTCCACTCTGATCCTGGGGCTCAAGGCTGGTGTCCAGGGACTCCTCAATCCGACTGGCTGTGATACCCCCAAACCCTGCGGCCCATGTGGCAGGACAATCAAAAACCAGAACCTTCCTCTCCCGCCTAGCCACGCCCTCGCCCTCCTTCAGTCGCCACACCGGAAGCCTGGGTCGCACCCTCCTCACCTTGCGCCTCTGCTCCTTCTGACGCTCACGGAACTCCTCCAGGCTCCGCAGCTCCTCTCGCAGGGCCAGGGCCAGCTGGAGGTGCGCGCTGCCCACGTTCTCTGTCTCTGGGGGTAATCCTGCTTCAGCCTACCGCAGCTCCCCTACCCAGCCCTGCTTGGCACCCCTCACCTCTTCTTTGCCCTCACATCCTCCCTCAGCCTCACAGCCTAGTACAACCAGTGAGAGCCTGCTTCACTCTCCTCACTGGCGTCCACCCCCTCTGTTACCCTGTAGCCTGGGTGGGGATGGTGGGGACTTACGCTGCTTCAGGGAGTCAAAGGAGGCCCTCAGGGTACTGCGAAACAGAAAAGACTGGGTTGGCAAGGAGACCGTGTGTACAAACCTGAAATCCTGGCTGGCCCAGAGCCTTTTATTTTGTTGGGGGGCCCTGTACCAACTTGGGCCCAAGGGACCTAGGTAGTAGCAGAATCGTGTCCATCCACACAAACCTCATCCCAGAATTTCTGGAAAGAGAAACCCTCTGTGGGAATTACAGAGTAATCCAACCTTTCTGCTGTGGCAGAGGAGGGAGGCAGGGATGTCCCTTTCTCAGATCCGTGCCTGTCAGCGTCCAGTGCACCCAGTGTGAGTCTGACACAGGAGAGGGCCATGCTCAGACCTGGCCTCCCCAGCTGGGGGTATTCAGAGGGATCTTGGTGAGAGCCTTGGGCCAGCAGGTGGCAAGAGGGGACATCTGTGGGGAGGGGCAAGGTGGGCACTGGGGTAAAGGGGGGGAGAGGGCCAGGCCGGTGGGGCAGGGACAGTGCTGGGGTGAGCAGATGAAAACAGGATGCGCATTTGCTTGGGCGTCAGACAAACAGGCGCAAACAGCACACGCACCAGGACCTGGTGCAGTAGGTGCTGCAGACATAGTCACTGGTCAGCCTCAGCCCTTCTGCAAATCCCATCCAGGGAAACCTGGACCACAGCAAGCAATGGGGGAGCGCCTGCCCCCTGGTGGCCACCTGACACCTAACACTCAACTTTCTCTGGGAAGAAGCCTGGCTTCCAGTTCTCCTGGGACAGATGGGGAAACCCAGCCAAAGAGAAGCAGGGACCTGGCAGGACCCAGGGAGCCAGGCCTGAGGGAGACTGTGGGTCCCAGTGACCAACCAGCTCCTGTCCTGCACTTGTGGGTGGGTCTGACAGCAGCTGAGCCTCCTCTGGCAAGAGTAGAAATGCAGAGTCCTAGGCCATGAGCTAAATGGAGTGGGTCCTGGCCTCTGCTCATACTACTCAAGGGCTCCTGTGGCTCCATCCAGTCCAGAGGTTTCACCCTCAATTCCAAGGGGAGGAGGCCTTTCCCATCCTCACCTCACAAACAGGAAATGAGGGTGGCCTGGGAGAAGGCAGAGCCTGAGGCCAGAGGAAGGAGGGGGCGATTGCTGTAACAACCCCACCTCCCATGACACCTGGACTGTGACACCATGCAAGCTTCTAGCTCCTGCCACCCGTCACCAGTGCTCACATGTATGACTCATCCTATTGCCCCTTTCTACTTGACTCTCAGGAAGCTCAGCCTAAAATTCTGCCCTCAAACACAGGCCAGTTTCCCAGTATAAATGGCTTTTCATGTGCTCTCCCCCAACATAGGCTGTGCCACTTCAGCTCCTTGCTTTGGCATCCCTATCCCTTCTCTACCTGGCGTCCTATTGGTTCAGACAGCCCAACCAGCACCTCCCTCCACAAAGGGCTATGTCCACAGGGAGCTGGCATCAGGGATGGGCGTGCTGCCCACCAGTTCCTCAGGGACAGCTTCATTCTCTGAGCTCAGGGGAATAGCAATCACAAAGTACCCTGCAAGAAAACCACAGTGCTTCAGGTCTATGGCAAAAGGTAGTGAGGGTTTGAGCACATCCTTTGGGAGGCTGTCCTTGCTCACAGGAAGCTCTTCACCCTCAATGCTTTGGCCTCAGCCCAAGAGCTTCCAGGGGCAGGGGCACCTACCACTTGTCAGGGGTAGAGAGGGCTTGTGAGGTATATGGTGAGTGGAGGGGAAAGGGTGGCCCCATCTGGGTGGGTGAGCTTCCTGTTAGGCTGGACACTTGGGGACCAGGTCTCAGTTGTGTCCCCCATTGCCCCGAGTTAACAGCCTGCAAAAGAGGTTCGTGCCACAGTCACATTTAGATGGCAGAGATGTCCCCAACTCTCCACTCTCTGGGTCTAGCAGCAGATCCCACCTGAGTCTGAGGGATGTTGTGGAGCTGGAGTTCAGCTCTCCTGCTCATGTGGTTGAGGGACCCCCTGGTTTCCTTCCCATCCCCCTCTGCTTGCTACACTCCAGGGGCTGAGAGATGCACGGCACAGACCTGGGCTTCCCCACCTGGGGCCAGGCCTCCCTCACACGTGTCCATGCCAGGGACCAACATGGTGCCATGGTGCCCACTCACATCTCCTACAAGGAGCCTCCAACCTGGTGTAGAGAAGGTGGCCTGTGGATGGATGCCAGGTCCCAACTATGGGAGGACTTCCTGGAGGAGGCACCAGAAGTGAGGAGGAGGAGCTCTCTCCTTGATTTGGGTTTTGGGGGCTTTGTCTTATTCTAACTCCTGAGTTCACCTGCCTCAGCCCTGGCACACAGTTGGTGCTCCATAAATGCCTGCAGAACAAATGGGTCAGTGAGGATCCAATTAAAGGAGTGACAGGTGTCCTCACTACCCTCCTGTGTTCAGGACCACTGATCACGCCATGTGCAGGCATCAGGGCTGCATGGAGGCCCTGGGGGAGGGGTTAGTGGGACAAACCCAGCCAGGGACCCCCATCTATAGGTGATACCCATCCATTGCATGTCCTGCCCTACCCAGCCACTGCTGGCTTCTCCTTGCTCCCCTCCCATCCTGCCCCAGGGGCCAGGTTCTGGGTTGCAGGTCCCGGGTTCCTTCTTTTTGAGGGTGGGGTTGAGGCAGGGTCTCAATATGTAACCCAGGCTAGCCTGGAACTTGTAGCAATCCTCCTGCCTCAGTCTCCTAAGTGCTGAGATTGCAGGCATGAACCATCACAACCTGCCTAGGGTTCCTTCTGTCTAGGCATTGCCAGCCCAGCTCTGGCTCCTACTGGGGCAGCCTCTGCTCCCCATCTCTTGGTCAACCCCTCCCCCTCCAGTCTCCAGCTCTCATGTTGTCTTCAGGGCCTTGGCAGGGGTGGTGGGGGGGGCAGAAAGGGGTCTTAGACACCCAAGCTCCCCAGCAGGACCTCTGCACACCAAACCAAGCAGGTGCTGTAATCTATCTGCTGGGCAGAGGGGCAGGTGGTGGGGCCAGGGAAAGTGTGAACCCTACTGTGTCCTGAGCATATCCTGCATCATCGTGAGGGCTCGGAGCACCTCTAAGGGGTGACTGCCACCTTCTTCAGTGACCCACGACTCAGAAAGGGAAACTAAGTCAGGCAAGAGGTCTAAGTCAGGCCCCACTCAGCCTTCCCACGCCCCAGCTCAGCTCACCTCCCCAGTGCTACCAGGGAACAGCTCCTCTCCTGCCATCAGTTTGTGACTCAGACCCCTGAGCAAGGCTCACAGGACCCACCTCCCACAGCCACCTCCTGGACTGGCTCCAGTCATCTCTTGGAAAAATCAGCTCCCCGGGCACAACTCACATCGGCCGCTCAGCTATCCCCTCAGTGTCACTACACACAGCCCAGAGCAGTGGCACCTTAGAGAGCATGATCTGTTTGGGGACTCTGTCTCAGGCAGACAGGTCACATCACCTCCAGGAATCAGTGCGGGGAGAAAGCAAGGTGGTTTTGCAGGCTCAGGCCTTGGGCCCCTATTTAGGACTTAGCTGCAGCCAGCACTGAGCTGCTGAGCCAGCAGCTAGACCCAGCACCGAGCTGCAGCCTTCTCTGTTCCCACCTGGAAGTGTACCCCAGGCTCCTGTGCCCAGCCTCAGCCACACTCTCTGTCTCCCACCCAGGCACACACAGACTCTGTCATGGCTACTCCCGGGGCACCCTTCCAGCCAGGCCTGTGCCAACCCCTGGACCATTTAACCTGCTGAGGAAAGGGGTGTTCTTATCTTGCCACTGACAGAGACAGAGACCATTCTGGTGGGAGAAGAGCAGGCCCTGGGCCCGAGATGTGTCCCCTCCCAGCCCCCTCTTCATTCTAAAAGCCCAGGCTGACACATCATTGCAGGAGCTGGGACCAGTGGACAGGGGCCATAGCTGCCCCCAGGACTGGGTGGTGCTGGCCTGGGTGTGAGCAGCTAGGGACAGAGAGTTTTGGCCTGTCCTGCCTGCCAGCATCCAAAATCGATCAGCAGTTACTACACGGGGCCCATTCCGCAAGCAGTCTGGATGCCCCGTGACGCGACACCCAAGAGATAAAGTCTCAAAGCCCCAGCCAAGGAGGGCCTAGAGCTGTGCCTGATGCTTACTTGATCTCCGTCTGCCCGCCTGCCTTCCTTGCAATCTGCACCAGCTCCTTCCCATAGCGCTCCTCTGCCTGGGCCCTGCAAGGCACAGTGGGCACTGCTATCTCCTTCAGGGCCACTCTGCCAGCCTCAGTGCAGGACACCTGCTGGGAGAAGTTGGGACCCCCCCACAGCTGCCCTTGGGGGTTCAGGCTGGGGGACCCCGGTTGGCTTCTGGCTTCTGGGAGCCCGGAGAGATGGGGCCCCGCCCTGCCCACCCTGGTTATCTCGTACCTCTGCCGAAGCAAGTCCTCCACATCCTTGCACATCTTCCTGCCATCCAGCAGCCGCTGCAGCAGCACCTCATAGCCTGTGTGGGCTGTGAAGTCCCTGCACTGGAACACAGGACACAGGGACACATGAGCTCAGGGTGGGGGGCAGTGCGAGGTGTGGGTCGTGTTCCAGTGCAGACCCTCAGGCTACTTCTGGAGCAGCATCTGCCCTGTCCCCCTCCCCACTTGAGGTTGAGCTTTTGGGATTTTGCTATGACTTCGCACTGCACCCAGGAGGTGGCCCACATTGGCAGAGGTGACAGGCAACTGGGCAGGGCTACTGTACCTGGAGTCAGAGCTCACAGTCTAGGACATATCAACACCAACACAGGACAGTGGGTAAGAGGGCCACCACTGAGGCTCTGGGACCACTGCCAGCCCCACAGTTCATATCCACTCTGGTACCTGGTGCTACTGTGCCCCTGGTCTGTAACACTATCATCTCAGTGTCCAAGGGGAGAACCGGTGTGGGGTGAACCAGCTTGGCATGGTGGGCTGCCACTGGGCAAAGGCCATCCACCTGGCATCCCCCCCCAAGTACCCTCTATGACAACTATGGTGCTGGCCACCTGCACAGCTGATGGTCCGCTGGAGAGCCCATCTTGCAAGGTGGGCACCAGGACACAGCCGGCACCTCCATGTCCCTACCTTGCTCCTTTACTTTTGGTGCTGGGGAAGGAGCCCAGGCCTCACACACAAGGCCATCATTCACCTCTGAGCCACCCCAGCCCTGGGTTGGCGTCCAAGGGAGTATACAAGGGGCACCTTAGGGTATCTTGGGCTCCAGGTATGAGACTGAGCTGCTATGCAACAGCTGGGGGGGACAGAGGGGCGCAGGGATCAAGGATCCTACAGCATCCCCCAGTCCAGGGCCAGGCACCTGCTCCCAGCCCTCCTGACTCAGGGAGGAGATGAGTCCTGGTGTAACTCTGGAGCCCATCAGCCCCCATCCTGGGTTGCTTGGGCTGACAACTAGGCACAAGGCAGGGCCTGAGATTCAGCACTGAATCTTCACTCCAAAAGCCCCAGAAGCTGGAAAGGACCACACACATCATGGGTCCATCCCACAGAGCTCAGAGGTCACCGGGCCCCACCCAAGGTCAAACATAACCTGTCTCCCATGCAAAGCCCAGCCTCTTTCCCCAGCCTGCCCTCAAATTATGAACATGAGGGAAAGAGAGCCAAGTAAAAATCAGGGGGAGCTTCTTGCAAAAAGCCATGCTCTAAGGGAACACAAGGTCTTTAAGGTCTAAAGAAAATCAGACATGATTCTCCAATTCTGCCCATCCTCAGCCAACTGGAATACATGGAAGTCCCTATACTCCTGTCCCCCTTTGTAGGTGGCCCTGGGAGCTCCCGTGGGGTCCTGTCCTGGATGTGGGATCTGCCTCAAGTGGCACAGGCCCAGGCTTGTCTGTGTGGCTTTTGGCTTTCCTACACTCTTGCTGGCTACGTGGCTAGCAGATCCAGCTGCCCCTCCCTGTACCTCTGCCCTCCCTCCAGACCCTACATCAGAAGCCCGGGCAGTAGAGGTGGAAAACAGGAGCCTCTGCCCCTGCTCTCCCTAGGAGGGGTCGTTCCGAGTAGGCACCATGTTCAGGCCAGGAAACCACAGTCCTGACTGGGAAGCATTCTGTCTCCCAGCTGCCCAGGCACTGAGGGAAAGGAAGAGCCAGTTGGGGCCACAGTCAGGACAGGATTAGGGTGAAAAGAGGTCCTGGCCACCCCAGGGGTCCCTTTCCCTGCCCTGGCTGAGGCCCCTGAGTGGGAGAGAAGCCATGCAGACCTACATTGGCCATCCGGAAGCAGAGGAGAGCAGCACGGGCCCACAGGCTAAGTCCTCAGGAATGCAGTCCCTACAGTGCTGAGGCTGGTGACTTCTGTCTGCAGCACACACAGCATCATGAGCCACAGGCACCGTGACTGGTGACCAGGCTGTTCCGAGGAAGCGCCTGACCTGGGGCTGCCCAACTGCCTCCTAGCCCTGCCCTCTTCCATGCTGTATCTTCTCCTCTACCCCGCCTTCCCCCTGCTAGATCCCACTCCTCAAGGGGTGGGTTCTGCTCAGTGCCTGGGAGTGAGGCTCAGTATGCTGTTGAGTAAAGAAGGAACCAACATTTCTACCCAAAACGTCTCCATTGCAGACCTACCATCCAAGGCCCAGCACCAGAATTGCCCCCAGAGTCCTAACCCCAGCCTCTCACTTCCTCCATCCATCCTCAGCCTCTGTCCTCTGTGTCCTGCCCATGGCCTTGCCTTCTGTGAATTCAAAACTGAGCCCTTGCTCCATAGGTCACACTGGCCCCTGGGCACCGACCACAGGAATGTCCACAATTGTTGATATGTGCCTTTCACAGTTAAAGCTTCTCCCTGGGTTTCCAGAGCCATTCTTAAGAATGAAACCATCGGGCTGGGGATTTAGCTCAGTGGTTCCAATGCCTGCCTCGCAAGTGCAAGGTCCAGAGTTCAATCCCTGGTACCAAAATAATAATAATAATAATAATAAAGAATGAAACCACCACAAAAAAAGACCTCAGGCTCCAAGGCTCCATGGGAGGACAAAATCCCAGCTCTGATAACCTCTAGCTCACAGTCACATCCCCTCCTGTTTCGCCTCTCTAATGCCAAGACCCTGCTTCCCATTGTTACTTACTTGTAATTGGCTTTTAAAAACCCCCAATCATGTAGGTCACACAAATGAGCTGCAAATGATACATGTGATAAAATAAGGTGGTGAATGTTTAAATTTTAAAAATGTGTATTACAGGAAAAGACACATAGCCGTCGATTCCCCCGTAACCCTCCCCCTTACTTTGAACACACTCATCTCAGAAGCGGCTCTGGAAGTCCTTTTCATGAGGGTCATTAGCTGTGTTGTCATGGCTGCCCAAATGTCCAGAAATGACTCAAAACATTTGCCTTTTGTGGTTATTTTTACTTTAGGGAAGAGCTAGAAGTCACATGGTGCCAGATCTGGTAAATAAGATGGGAGAGGATATACCGTAATGTTTTTACTTGATGGCAGTTGCTCTCTGAGAAGCCAAGAGTGACAAGGAACATCTTCACGATGGAGCAGAAAACCATTTGCCCATGTCCCTGGCTGTTTTCTACATACATCACTTCTCAAATGCTCTAATTAAGCCCTTATAATATTCAAAGTTCACAGTAGTGTTTCTGGTACAAACTCAGTTCTCAATATTCTACCAAGGTTAAAAAAACACACACACACACATCATCACCTTAATGTCGGATCTTGATTGATGTGCTTTTTCACACAAGAACTGGGTGATTTCCATTGGGAACTCTGAACTTGGTCCCAAGATCTAAACCATAGACCTGACAGTCATCTCCTGGGATGGCATTTCTTTAAAAGCTGGACTGGGAAGCAGCAGGATTGAGCAATTCCAGTGACATGGACAAAATCTAACATTAGTGCATGACTTCTGCCTCACTGTAAAACATCCCTCTCTCAACCACAGCTCACAACCCAGTGACTGCACAATATCGCTGTTCCCCAGGGTTTCATCCTGAGGGTCTTGCCTTTCCGTTGGGTGGCACTCGGCAGCAGCGCTCACCATTGCACCTCGTGTTATTAGTTTCCCGCAAGCTCTGCTGTACACGATTCCCCTGACACCTGGATTATGATTATGGTTGCCTGGGTCATTTTCCCGGAACTTGACAGCAGTTTTGCCAAAACCACCAGTTCTTACAGGCCAATGCAGGTGTTCAACCAACCTAGATTTGGATCAGGTCAAAGCCTTAGGTTTCATGTCAAGGCCCCCATGTTCTGAACGTGCACTCTGTGAAGAGCCGTGACGATGGATTTATGCACATCCAGCCAGGTTTGAGAGACCAGAAAGTGTGACCTCAATGCATTTCATACCCTACCAACCGACTCCCCACACCTTAGCAGCCCTGCATCTGCACCCCATAAACCTTTCCAAATTCCACCCTTGGGAGGCAGATTTGAGGCTCAGGGTGCCTGCTCCATGCTCAGCCATCCTGGAACACATGGCCTAATCTCAGTGATGGGCAGGGGTCGGGGTACAAAACAGGCCTGGCTTAGTAACAAAATCTCTACTGACCAGATCCTTGCGCCACACACCACACCAAGAACATCCTGGCCGCTATCCTTGAAAATGCCACAGACCCAGGAGAGTAGGGACAGCAACAAGGAGGCCCAAAGCGGGGAGGTGACTGCCCACAGCCACTCCACTGATAAAGGACAGGGATAGGATCAGAACTGGGGTTGGACCATCCCCCAAGTCATATGCATACATCAGTCATTCAGTAACCAGCTCAGTAAGGGATTTCCAGTGTCAATTATGGAAAAGTGACTTTTTTTTTTTT